TAAAAACTTCTATGTAAAGCACTGGCCAAGGTCTGGAATGATAAAGATTGAGAGGTTGTGTGAAGGAATGATAAAGATTGAGAGGTAGTGTGAGGGAATGATAAAGATTGAGAGGTAGTGTGAGGGAATGATGAAGATTCAGAGGTAGTGTGGGGGAATGATAAAGATTGAGAGGCAGTGTGAGGGAATGATAAAGATTGTGAGGGAATGATAAAGATTGAGAGGTAGTGTGGGGGAATGATAAAGATTGAGAGGCAGTGTGAGGGAATGATAAAGATTGTGAGGGACTGATAAAGATTGAGAGGTAGTGTGAGGGAATGATGAAGACTGAGAGGTAGTGTGAGGGAATGATAAAGATTGTGAGTGACTGATAAAGATTGAGAGGTAGTGTGAGGGAATGATAAAGATTGAGAGGTAGTGTGAGGGAATGATAAAGAATGAGAGGTAGTGTGAGGGAATGATAAAGATTGAGAGGTAGTGTGAGGGAATGATGAAGACTGAGAGGTAGTGTGAGGAAATGATAAAGATTGAGAGGTTGTGTGAAGGAATGATAAAGATTGAGAGGTAGTGTGAGGGAATGATATAGATTGAGAGGTAGTATGAGGGAATGATGAAGACTGAGAGGTAGTGTGAGGAAAAGATAAAGATTGAGAGGTTGTGTGAAGGAATGATAAAGATTGAGAGGTAGTGTGAGTGAATGATAAAGATTGAGAGGTAGTGTGAGGGAATGATAAAGATTGAGAGGTAGTGTGAGGGAATGATAAAGATTGAGAGGTAGTGTGAGGGAATGATAAAGACTGAGAGGTAGTGTGAGGGAATGATAAAGACTGAGGTAGTGTGAAGGAATGATAAAGATTGAGAGGTAGTGTGAGGGAATGATAAAGATTGAAAGGTAGTGTGAGGGAATGATAAAGATTAAGAGGTAGTGTGAGGGAATGATAAAGATTGTGAGGTAGTGTGAGGGAATGATAAAGATTGAGAGGTAGTGTGATGGAATGATAAAGATTGAGAGGTAGTGTGATGGAATGATAAAGATTGAGAGGTAGTGTGAGGGAATGATAAAGATTGAGAGGTAGTGTGAGGGAATGATAAAGATTGAGAGGTAGTGTGAGGGAATGATAAAGATGAACAGGTAGTGTGAGGGAATGATAAAGATGAAGAGGTAGTGTGAGGGAATGATAAAGATTGAGAGGTAGTGTGAGGGAATGATAAAGACTGTGAGGTAGTGTGAGGGAATGATAAAGACTGAGAGGTAGTGTGAGGGACTGATAAAGATTGAGAGGTAGTGTGGGGGAATGATGAAGACTGAGAGGTAGTGTGAGGGAATGATAAAGATTGAGAGGTAGTGTGAGGGAATGATAAAGACTGAGAGGTAGTGTGAGGGAATGATAAAGACTGAAAGGTAGCGTGAGAGAATGATAAAGATTGAGAGGTAATGTGAGGGAACGATAAAGATTGAGAGGTAGTGTGTGGGAATGATAAAGACTGAGAGGTTGTGTGAGGGAATGATAGAGGTTGAAAGGTAGTGTGAGGGAATGAAAAAAATTGAGAGGTAGTGTGAGGGAATGATAAAGACTGAGAGGTAGTGTGAGGGAAGAAAGGAATCAGAGAAAAAAACAATTAGAGAAAAAAATATAAAATTTTTAGTTACAAGGGACGACTGCTCGAAGTGTGCTTATAAGTTTTTATTTTGAAAAGTCACAAAGCTACAAAGCCGAAATTTTGAACACATATCCACGTGGGCCATCTAGATATTTAGAAAAAAACAGAATTGAGAAATCTCCCATAGGGAAAGTTAGCCCAGGAAAAGTTGCCGATATTCTGCTCTCTTATAGGCCATATAGACGGAAAACGTCCAATAGCTAACTTGTGCAAATGATTGTATGCTATTTTTGGAAATTCTTTTTCAGCCATATTGGAAAGGTTTTAATGCGATTTCATGGAAAAGGTTAGAGGAGGTTCAATTGAATTACTTGAATGAGTCCACATGTCAACTCGTCGACAGTTATGAGTATAGGCCTACAGCTGCGTTTCCTTTAGTACGGATCCGGTGCGGCTCCGGTCCGAGTGTTGACACGGCACAGGGCAGGTTATGTTTCCGTAAATGCGGTTAGTCATGCGGCAAGGGTCTCTTTTCGACATGGCATCGGTGTTGTCACGTGTCGAAGAAAGAGCGAACTTTGGAATTCCCCTACCTTATATTTTTAGCTTTTTGCGGTGCGGGCTGCCCAAACTGTGTTTTCATATGTGTGTTTCAGGACACGGTTCTGTATCCGGTTCCGTACCAATCGCTACATGGTCCGGTTCGAAAAACCGTACTGGATGTCGCATACGGAACCGTATCTATTCTGCACCTGTAAATAAGGAAATACTCTTACTTATTTTAATGAAAGTGATTTTTGCCGTATCCGTACGAAAGGAAACTCAGCTTTAACTCACAGTTAACTAGTCTACAACCTTAGTCGACTACAAATAATTTATTTGGCTAACAATTATAAGGCATAAAGGCCTTTTTACAAGTGAACCCAAACATAAAAGAAACAATTTTGACATAAGATATCATATATACACAATATATACAATCAATCAATCAAATACAATTAAAACGATTATTGTGTTACAGATGATATTGCGAAATAACAATATTCATCTAAATGGTGATGAATCCCCCCAGTTGCCTACATCATGATGTAGGCCTAATATTTAGAATAATTTTCAGGTAGGCCCTTTAATTTTCGACGTTTTTGATACCGGTAGTGAAAAGATTGCATGCTGTCCCTTTCAAATTGCCATTTGGAATTGAAAAGTATATTTTTGCACGCTGTTTAATTCTGGTTTAAGCACTTTTTTTTTATATATTTAACGGACGTGTAAAAATATAATGACCAGTAAGTGGTCATTAGTCACACCCACACCACTGACGAAAGGCTGGGTGATCTGGTCATGATATTAATCAAGGTCGATTACTCACACTTGTTGACAATCACGTGACCTGTAGAGAGGTTGAGAGGGAAACGCCGGTGTTGTCAGATTAGTTATCTAAAAATTATTTACGACTCATTTTTTGGGGCTCTTTTTGACTATTTGGATGTATGACAAAGGACTTAATTCATTCGCTTCATAAAGAATAAGATGGATATCGTACGCAGCCTTTCGGACCAGAAACATGTCCAGCGTTTCCAACAAGTGTGTGGCCTGGAATTTCAGAATGATAGGAATTTGTGTCAGAATGGCCACTCCCACACGTCAAATGGATTCGTTAGCAACGGAGGAACTGCGTACGATGATGTGAAGCTGACCAGGAATGGAATTAAAAACGGTTTCGCCACAAATGGATACAACAACCATAAATTTGAAAAAGATATCAATGCTAACCACAATGGGTTTTCTACCTCTCATCATGAACTCAAGAATGGTTTTGTGCAAAATAACCAAAATTCCATCCATAATAGTAGCAACATTGTGCAAAATGGAACGACACCAAACAGTCTGCTCAATGGTTCCAAATCAGCTAAACAACATTATACAATCAAATATTCTTTGCCATACTATCTTGCTGCCGTTGGTGCTTTCATGGGAGACGAGATTTTCTATCTGACATTTTACCCTTTTGTTATTTGGAATATGGACTCTGTGTTGGGTCGACAAACTGTTTGGGTTTGGACCTTGGTGATGTATCTTGGACAAGCAACAAAAGACTATCTCAAAGTGCCCCGCCCGCGTTCCCCTCCAGTTATTCACCTTGAAACTCATCATTTGAATGAGTTTTCGTTGCCGTCAACCCATGCCATGGCAGGTACTGCTATGCCTGTTGTAATGGCTTATTTATTGTTATTACGATATGAGGTATGTATTGCATCTCTCTTGATTTTTTCCTGAACAACTATTACAGCTTCTTGCCTGTCAATCAGCTTCAAGCTTATTAATATTCATGAGAACGGATTCATTGAGACAATAGTTTTATACCAGTTGTGGAACCAGTACACTGATTTGCGGTGACTTCAATGAGATACACTCATTACACTGACCCCACAACTGGTATAAAAACCTTTGATCTGTTAGAGACTGTAGCAATGAGTGACAATGGCGACAGTCCATCTGAACACTGTCATGCCCGCTCGTAATCTTACATTGAAGCGGACGGGGGTTGTTTGGTATCTGTCGATTTGTACCCACAATTCGCGGGGAACTAGCCAAAATCTTCCTGGGTATTCATTTACACTTGTAAATTCTAGTTTACTTAACAGTGAGTTACTGACTCCTTTTATAATCTTTAGTAATTAACCGGGTAACAAAAGGTTATTGCCGACGATTACCCGGTTAGTAAAATTCACTAACCGTTTCAACACTAGTACTAATGCTAGTCTATATATTCATCTTTGTGAGATAGAGTGGCTCTATTCTGTGTTTATGGTGGTGCTTTACCACAAAGTTATCCAAATGCTTACAAATTTTTTTTTGATTCTTTTAGTTTCCAGTATGGCTAGCTATTAGCTGTGTTCCAATTTGGACTGTATTGACATGTTTAAGTCGGCTGTATCTTGGTGTCCACACAATACTAGTGAGTATTATTTTTATACACCCACACATAAGTATGGGCGTATATTGTAGTTGCCCCTGTCGGACAGTTCGTCGGTCCGTCCGTCCACATTTACCTCGTACTCACTCTACAGGCTACATTTCTCTATGGATTCTTTTGATTGTTTGTATGTGTGTCAATATCATTATAAAGATGTGCACTATTGAATTTGGTGATGATCTGATAATTTTCTTGAGAGATATCGTATAAAACTCTGATATCGCGTTCATTTTTTTTTCACTTTTTGGCTCGTGCTCTTGAGAGATATCGGATAAAACTCTGATATTACGTTCGTTTTTTTTCACCTTTTGGCTCGTGCTCACTCTACGGGCTACGATATAGAGTTTGTTTTACAGTTCACATTTAGCTCTTTTTTAAGCTGCTGGTGGGCGTATTCGCTTGCGAGACTTGCCTCAAGCCTATGTGATACATGAATACGGTATGGTAAATGTTCATAAAAACTTCATGTTCTGACCCCACAAGTATGTCAAAATAATTGTATCCATCTTAGTTTATGTTGTCTTGAGTTATTATGAGATTATGAGTGGTTATAAAATGTGTCCCTTGATTCAGTAGACTGTCATTTATCTCATTTAATTGAGGAGCTAGTTCTCTGCTTAAAGATGGGTTCCCTTATTTTCATTTATATAAATGAATATGCTAATACTTATATGAATAGAAAGTAGAGGTGTTCTAATGACTTGGAAAAATACCAGTTTGTCTCACATGTCCATAATTAATTCATAATTAGCTAAATTAGAAGGGAATTACCAGCAGAATTCCAATGAGTGACCGATAAAGAAAGATCAAAAAGTCTTTTTTTGTTTATCCAGACTGTTCATACATGGACATTTACGATTGGCTAAAACTCTTAATTTTATGCAATAAGAACATAATGATATGATTAAGAATACATGATAATTCATTAGAAACACCCATTAATTAAATAGTTTGCTTAATTTGATACTCAAAAATAAGGAAACCCATCTTTAAGGTTGCAAACTTAAGAATATTAGTAAAAATTAGTAAATTTACTAACCAAACATGTTTGTGAGTAAAAGATGCCAATTTTAAGCATGAAATATAATTTTGGTAGAATCTATTACGTCTAGAATTCAAACAGGGTGCTTTTATTGTACTAAAATCATTTTTTTTTTATGTATTTTTTCAACAGATATAAAAAATGATGTCTTTAATCAACATTAAAGCTAAGATTCCATATACGTGTCATGCGGACATAAATGGCCCTTGCGGATCCGTCATGCGAAAAATTGTTAACTAGCAGTACAAGCTAGTTATTAGAATGAACCTTAAACATTTTGTCACTTGTCACAGCTTGTATCATTGACAATAGCTTGACAAGTTCAATATAGTGTACTGATGTGTAACAAACATTTATTATACTGTGTAAATCATTTATTTTCATTAAAGATGGCTTCCCTTATTTTCATTTATGAAAATGAAAATGCTAATACTTATATGAATAGAAAGTAGAGTTGTTCTAATGACTTAGAAAAATACCAGTTTGTCTCACATGTCCATAATTAATTCATAATTAGCTAAATTAGAAGTTGCTTGCAGAATTCCAATGAGTGACCGATCAAGAAAGGTCAAAAGGCCTTTTTTTGTTTATCCAGACTTGGAAAAATACCAGTTTGTTTTACATGTCCATAATTAATTCATAATTGGCTAAATTAGAAGAGAATTACTAACAGAATTCCAATGACTGACCGATCAAGAAAGGTCAAAACGTCTTTTTTTGTTTATCCAGACTGTACATACATGGACATTTATGATTGGTTAAAACTAAAATTATATGCAATATAAAAATATAATGATGATTAAGAATACATGATAATTCATTAGAAACACCAATTAATCTAATAGTTTGCTTTCCATTCATATAAGTATTAGCATTTTCATTTTCGTAAATGAAAATAAAGGAACCCATCTTTAAAGGGATACTATGTCTTAGAATAAACATGAAATTTAAAAATTTTAAACTTGGCCAATAAGAGTATATATTCATCAGTAGATATACCTGGTGTTATGAATAACATAACAAGATCCTTATATAATCTGATAAATCCAAAAAACTTAGTAATTATCCATAAACATGCAATTAACTATTGAAAAACGCTTAATATTATGATTTTGAAAGCGTTTTTCAATAATTACTTAGTTTTATGAATTTTCCAGATTTTACAGGGATTCTGTTGTAACTTTATGACACCAGGTAAGTTCACTGATGAATATATACTCATATTGACCATTCTTGAGAATTAAATTTTATGTTCATTCTAAGACATAGTATCACTTTAAGAGTAAAAATCAATTTTATTTTATTTATTTTATTTTTCAGGATGTGTTATGTGGTATTGTGTATGCTTTGGTAATCATGGCAGTCACAATGCCTTATTTAAGTGAGGTAGATATTTTTTTCCAGTCTCATCCTTTATCACCATTCGTAGTCTGGATTATCTGTTTAGCTGCTGTCACTGTGTGCTATCCTGCTCAAGGTAAAGATGTTGCGAAAGGCTCAGGTGTTCGTATTGTCGCTATTTATATGGGATTTTCTACTGGAATGTGGATGAATTATCAGTTTGGATTATCGACCATACCCGAAACATCACTACCATACCACATTATGACCCCTTCTTTAAACTGGGTCATTTATAGTCTGCTTCGTTTTGTTTTCGGTGCTGTACTATTAGCTGTTGTTAAACTTGTCCTGCAAAAATTAACAGTACGTTACTTTTCTTATTTGGCAAATTTAGAAACGCCAAACAAGCTTCATCCATCAGTGGAAACAAGTTATATAATTTCTACATATTCTGTTGTTGGCTTTTGCCTTACATCTGTGATTCCTTATATGTTCCAATATATTGGAATTTCCCGATCAGCGCAGTCTGAGATTTTTTAGTGAAAAAATTCTGTATTTAAAGTGATACTACGTCTTAACATTAACATAAAATTGAAGAATTTTAAACTTGGCGAATAAGAGCCAGTAGATATACCTGGTGTCATAAATAACATAACAGGATCCTTATATAATCCGATAAATCCAAAAAACTTAGTAATTATCCATAAATATTCAATTAACTATTGAAAAACACTTAATATCATGATTAAGCGTTTTTCAATAATTACTTAGTTTTATGAATTTTCCAATTTTCCAGATTTTACAGGGATTCTGTTGTAACTTTATGACACCAGGTAAGTTCACTGATGAATATATACTCATATTGACCATTTGGAGAACTTAAATTTTATGTTCATTCTAAAACGTAGTATCCCTTTAAGTTTGATCCAAGCTATTTAAAAAAGATATAGTCATCTACATATTTGCTTTACTAGATGATAGAGCTCAATTTGAGCTGTCTCTGTAACAGTTTTCAGAATTTCACTTTCCAGTTGACCCAGCTGTAAATGGGTTTGAATGATATGGGAAGATCAATTCCACCAGGTTTGGTCACAGATTAGTTTGTAGCCTGGATCCTTCTGATCCGAAGTTTATGTTCTTGTAAGAAATGGTTGTAGATTTTATGGAATCGCAAGAGAACTGGTTGTCTGATTTATATCCTGAAAAGGGATAAGGACAGCACAGCTTTTTTATTTGTTGAAGCAACTTATATCTATTAAAAATATCTTTGCTCCATAAGGGTGAAAATTATGTCATGTGCAGTGTCTTGCAATATTTCTTGTCTTGGATGAACTTTGACCTCTCATCAGGCATTGCCAAATATGAAGTGTGAAAAACAAAAGAAAATATTTTATTTTCTATACCTTAGCTCTCATTAATTGTACAGAGCTTCATTATTTTGATTATTTTTGTACTCTTTGCCTTTATAACTTACCAAAAAAACTTTTGCCAAATGATAACCCCTCCTTTTTTGGCATCCACTTGACTTTTGACTCCTTTTCTTACTGCAGCATCTTGCTCAAACTTTCAGGAACCAATCAACAAATTCCTATATTTTTTAATAACACTGATTTTTGTTATCTTCATTTGATAAGCTTATATTTATCTTCAATGTGAAAAGTGCTACTTGCAATTTTTTGAGCTAAAGATTTCATATTAGGGACAATTCTAGGCTTACTTAGAGATTCAAAAATTACTTGTCAGACCTCCAGTCTAGTTAGCAAGCATCATAACTGGTTGAGCAACTCTCATTGTGTGAATTTAAGCTAACAGTGGATATAATAAGTCCTTGCCTTAAAGATGGGTTTCCTTATTTTTTAGTATCAAATTAAGCAAACTATCTGATTAATTGGTACTTCTAATGAATTACACTGTATTCTTAATCATATCATTATTTTTTTTATATTGTATGTAATTAAGAGTTTTAAACAATCATAAATGTCCATGTATGTACAGTCTGGATAAACAAAAAAGACTTTTTGACCTTTCTTGATATGGTCACTCATTGGAATTCTGCTTCTAATTTAGCTAATTATGAATTAATTTTGGACATGCGAGACAAACTGGTATTTTTCCAAGTCATTAGAACACCTCTACTTTCTATTCATATAAGTATTAGCATTTATATTTTCACTAATGAAAATAAGTGAACCAATCTTTAAGGTTGTAGTAACCTAGTTTCTTTTGTATAAGCTTAAAGTAGTCAGTAAGGATCCAAATTATTTTGAAGATTTGCCTAAGGGAGTTCACATACTCTCCACTTTGATTTGGCTTCAAGGTATTATAACAGTACAATGCAAAGTAATATTATTTAACAATGTGAACTCTCTAAAAGATAAAGACAACCCATAGGGAAGTGTGGTTTCAATTTCTATAGTTAAGCATTCTTTTTCTTGCTGGCGATATCTTTTTCTTGCCATGCATGCATGATCAAAATGGAAGGTTCAAGAAGTTTGGTCTAGGTCTTCATTGGCAGGTGTTGCATGCAAGTTTGGGAATGCTCAAATTCCACTCTTTGTCAATGTTTCTTCCTTTCAGAGAGTCCACTTAGCTGAAATTGTTTATTTGGCCTTAATAATTAATTCAATATGTAGCAGTACCCTGAGAGACTGTCCACTCTTCTCTTCCAAGAATTATTAACCTCTCTGATACAGTTATGACTGATATTGTGATGCCATCAACTGCACTGGAGAAGGTTTTGCCTGAAAGTGACCATTAAGGTAATTGAGAAATTGGAAGTTTGTTTTTGTTTTCAAGGCCTACATAATTTGATAACATTATAGATAACATGATAATTATTGAATCAGATCTGAACTTTAACCCTTTGCTGTCAAATTATCGTTGGATTTTAAGGTTATCAGTTAAGATGTTATCTCATCTGCACTATCCTATCCAGAAATGTCCTATTTCATTTAGTCTTGCCCTATATCAGCACCCATAGCTGCTAAGAAGTCCAGGCAGGGATTTCTACTTTAGCACTTTTTTGCGTCTTATTTTGATTGGTTTGAAAGTTAGCAATTATGAGACTATCTCATATTAACTTGTTATTTCATCAACTAAATTGTTACCTTGTTACGTATGTCACATCTCTTAAAGGGATACTACGTCTTAGAATAAACATAAAATTTAAAAAATTTAAACTTGGCCAATAAGAGTATATATTCATCAGTAGATATACCTGGTGTCATAAATAACATAACAGGATCCTTATATAATCCGATAAATCCAAAAAACTTAATAAAAATGCAATTACCTTTTGAAAAACGCTTAATATTATGATTAAGCGTTTTTTCAATAATTGCTTTGTTTTATGAATTTTCTAGATTTTACAGGGATTCTGTTGAAACTTTATGACACCAGGTAAGTTCACTGATGAATATATACTCATATTGACCATTTCGAGAACTTAAATTTTATGTTCATTCTAAGACGTAGTATCACTTTAACCAATAGCAGAATTTTTATTGGCTCAATATGTCCTTTAACTCATTAACCTGTGGCCTTATTCTCGAAAACTTCATTCCGTCATCTGATTGGTCAATCACTAAAAATGAATTTAAATTTAGTTTTATTGTCCAATCAGATTATTGCTTTTAAAAAATCTTAATTTTATTCAAGATAATAGTAGTTTTTTTTTTAGAATAAGGCCCAAGGATGTCTAACATATGTCAAGATTTATAACCTTGCTTCTTTATTTTTGAAAAACGTAAGACTAACCCTGTGTTTAAACATGGGACAGAGACCTGCTTAGATTTGAACATACCCTTTGCTAAAACCCTTCACACAAAAAAGACCTGCTGAGATTTCAACATACCCTATGCTTACACTATGGGGACCTAAAGTGTCTTAAATTGAGTCTCTGCTTAAGACCTTTTAGAAAAACCCTCTGCTGAGACAATGTGCTTAAGACTGGTTAGACTGGCTCTTTAGGGCAGCCAAAGCTTTGATATTTGTGTAATTTTGTAATCGCTTAGACCTAGTCATCTCTGCTTGCACTCTCTCCTTCAAACAACTCTGCTTAGAAGAGTCTTTACTTAGAAAGACCATTGCTAAGACCGAATCTCTCCTCAGAAAGACCCCTAGAATACCTGCTCTGCTTGAAGATGGGTTTCCTTGTTTTTTAGTGTCAAATTAAGCAAACTATTTAATTAATTGATGTTTCTAATGAATTATCATGTATTCTTAATCATATCATTATGTTCTTATTGCATATAATATAAGTTTTAACCAATCATAAATGTTCATGTTTGTACAGTCTGGATAAACAAAAAAGACTTTTTGACCTTTCTTGATCGGTCACTCATTGGAATTCTGTTAGTAATTCTCTTCTAATGTAGCTAATAATGAATAATTTTTGACATGTGAGACAAACTGGTATTTTTTCAAGTCATTAGAACACCTCTATTTTCTATTCATATAAGTATTAGCATTTTTATTTAGATAAATGAAAATAAGGGAACCCATCTTTAAAATCTTCTTTCATTTTAACAAGAATATTTTGCTGAAAATTTACAGTGGGAAAACAAAAGTTTAAAATATGTGTTATTTTGTAATTAGAAAGTAGATTTTTATATGAGTTAAATTATCCTCATTAAAAGGCTACTCGTTCAGGTGTACTGTGATGCCATTACGTGGTCTGGTAAACCGATCTTGTAGCCTCTATGATCCAGTGATATGACAAGTATTGTGTCGTCCCAGATTTGATACTTTGATCACATGGACTCTATCATCACCCAGTCATAATAATGTATAATATTCTATATTTTATATGTATATCGTGCAATCTTTTAGCGACATCTCAAGATTTCTCATTTGGTGTGTGCACCTTGCAATGACATATTTTCCTCTTGTGTCAAATAAAAGCTGCTTAATTCAACAGAGAGCCTGCATAAACAAAGAATTGTATATCATTCAGGAGAAGTTCAATTGCTGTCAGCGATATGTGTCCTGTAGAGAGAGGATCTGTTATTGCTTTAGGACACGCTTATTGAGAAAGGAAAATTGATTTGATAAAATTTTTTAGGTTTACTACTGAAGCACATGTATACTAAAGTGCTGACCTTAATGTCTTATGACGTTCTTCGAGTGTTAGGGCGCTTAGCGCTTATCTATTGGGCAGTGTGCTTTAGCCCCTCTCTCAACCCAGGAGAGCATTGACAAGTCTGTCATACTTGAAGAACTGAAGGACTGAAATTGAATAAATTTGCTAGTTGAGAGATGTCGCTATTGGGGAATATTATTTATGGTGCCTTTTTATTGGTAGGGCCAAACGACATTTGTAGTGCGTTTATGTCTGGGGTAAAACCCACCACGCAGGCAGCTGGTTGTTCTGAATGTCATAAGCAACTATAAGCGTTGGTTGACCTTAACATTATATTATATTCTAAGATGTATTTTGTATTCTTATTTTATTTAATATGTTAAATCAACTTTTATTGTCAATTCAGAAATTTTTTTTCTTTTCCATATCTTGTTAATAAATTAGTGTTGTTAGTGTTGTCTTGATTTATCTCATGGAGCCGCGGTGGCTCAGTGAGTTGGACGCTTGCTCGCTAACCTGAAGGTCTATGGTTCAATCCCGGCATAGGTCGAGATACTACCTTCGGATTTTTCAACCCGGTTCCCCCTGTCAGTGATGCAGGTAAGAGGGGCTGACATGGAAAAAGCGTCTAGTCGTTCAGATGGGACAATAAACCGAGGCCCCGTGTGCTACAGGCTGTTCACGTTAAAGATCCCTCGACAGTTTGAAATCGAAAAAGAGCAGGCTAATGCCGCTGTCCTGGCAAAATTTCCTTCATTGCTCCCTGCATGGCGTTGCCCGTCTTCATTAGCCCACACGGTGTAGGACGTGAGACTCCTTTCAATTCATTTCATTCCTAGCGGTGTACAAAGAATTAGGCTACTCTTGATATAGTTACAATCCCTACATTATTCTGTCCTATTAAAAGCCCATCGCATGGTTGAGTCAATCTATTTACTAAGATTTATTTACTATGTTGGTGGGCCTACCATTTGAGTACTATATGTAAACCTTTATAAGACGTTGCTAAGTTTATTTTGTATATGTATATGGGCATCACTCAGTTTATGGACACCTCACAGATCAGTTTCGTACCTGTGGCGTTTCAGGGGTTCAAAGCCTGGCCTTCCCAGTTGCAAATATTATCAATGACTTTAAATGCTTGGTGCTGTCGGTGACCCCCTATTGACACTTCAGTGTACCGTAAACTTTTGTGAATCCAGTTTGGATAAATTGAGGTGACTACAAAATACTGACTCATTCTGGCTCATCAATTTACTATTGGGCGAGGAAATGATGCAAGTTGGACATAAACAGCATCCACCTTCAGGTCAAAGTTTAAATTTCAACATTCTGATCATAAACAATTGAGTCATCTCAACTGAAATCCGGGTCATACATGACAAAAACTTGTGAATAAATAAAAGAGGTGTAATATTTAGGCGTAAAAACAATCAAATGGATTTCTTCTTGAATAAAAGAGAACCTAGTTGTTCTTTTTGGGGCTAGGGCCCTGCGCAATTTTGATCGAAGTAGTAAGACTTAGAGATGTGAACTCCAAGGCACCAGTATACACCTTGAAGGGACACGGTTTCTAAATAGTTTGATAAAGCTCTCATTCAACTATCAGTTTACTTATAGCATTTAACTCCTTAAATTTCCTAAATCATATTCATGTGGGCGTATAAAAATCGGCCGACAGTGATAATAAACACCGAAACAGAAATTTAACATATCCTGGTATTAAGCCTAGCCTACTTGTTAAAGTGATACTACATCTTAGAATGAACATATCTCGAAATGGTGAATATGAGTATATATTCATCAGTGAATTAAGTGTCATAAAGTTACAACAGAATCCCTGGAAAATTCATAAAACTAAGTAATTATTGAAAAACGCTAAATCTTGATATTAAGCGTTTTTCAATAGTTAATTGCATATTTATGGATAATTACTAAGTTTTTTGGATTTATCGGATTATATAAGGATCCTGTTATGTTATTTATGACACCAGGTATATATACTGACTCTTATTCGCCAAGTTTAAAATTCTTAAATTTCATGTTAATTCTAAGACGTAGTATCACTTTAAAGCGAAACCCGGATACACCCATGAAGATTAAGTCGAAAAACGTGACGAGCTCCGATATTATAATACCGCTAAAAAAAAGAGGAACTCCCAATTCTGAATATTAAGAGATTAAACCATTTACAATTTAAAAGACACCCGACATTGCGGGATTAATGGTTATATTCCAACTGTACCATTTTCTACTTTGGCAAAATACACATTTTTTCAAAACTAGGATCACTGTTAAAATGATACTACGTCTTGGAATGAACATATCTCGAAATGGTGACTATGAGTATATATTCATCAGTGAACTTACCTGGTGTCATAAAGTTACAACAGAATCCCTTGTAAAATCTGGAAAATTCATAAAACTAAGTAATTATTGAAAAACGCTTAACCTTGATATTAAGTGTTTTTCAATCGTTAATTGCATATTTATGGATAATTACTAAGTTTTTTGGATTTATCGGATTATATAAGGATCCTGTTATGTTATTTATGACACCAGGTATATCTACTGATGAATATATGCTCTTATTGGTGAAGTTTAAAGTTTTTAAATTTTATTCTAAGTCGTAGTATCCCTTTAAGGCTCTGGCCCCTTTTTCAAAAACTGTAAGGGATAACTCGAACCATTCATAATTAGATTCGAAACAATGTTAAAGACAACTCAGGCTACTTTTTCGTAACACTCAGATCAACTTTCAAAGACAATTTAATTTATTTTTTTGTAGAGAATACTGATTACTGGACCACTGTTGGAAAACAACTCCGAAGACTTGTGACTGAAACCACTTCAGTGAAACTTTGGTAAGGTCTATAATGGGGATGGCCCTAAAAAGGGCCGTTTCTTTGGATATTTTGTTATTCAATTGTAGACGAAGGATCTTCGTAACTCTAAACTCTGGACTATATTCCAGAGAGTGGTCCACTGTTGGTTGGTTGGTAGATGACAAGTTAACGATCGCTTCCTCTGTCCACTGTTCTTCTGATGTCTATTTATAGAAACACCAGACATCACCTTGAGTTGAATTCAAGAGGGTGATCCTCGGTTGTGTGCCTGTGCGTTGTTTTTAGGAAAATAAATGTTGATATAGGTCGATTTTCTTGTTGTGATTTTGAAATATTACACTTTCATATCATGATACTATTAGTAGTTTTTAAAACAAAAATCAAACACAAAATTCTCCATATTTCAACAATATATGAAAAGATAGCTTGCCAGGCAAGGTAACATACGCCCACTGACAGCTGTCAGAAATGATAAAACAGTATTTAGTGACTAAAGTATGAATTTTCTCTTATTAAAGAAATTTTACTAGTTTGAATTTAATGATATATATATTTACTACCAGTTATTTATGCTGAGAAATTCCACCAAATTTTTAAAAATCAATATCAATAACCCAAATAGATCAAATTATCGCCTCAATATATATGATCACACCATGTTTCATTAAAATCAGTTGAAAACTGAAGTCTCTATTGTGTTCACAACAAATGTTGACGGTCCGACAGACAGGGGCGACCGCAATATACGTCCAAATTTCCATGTGGGGTTATAAAAATAACCCTTCTCTAAAATAAATGCACAATAATCATTATTTACATACACAATTAAATGCAGAAAAATTACAGTCATGGATAAAAATTCAATAAATTGAGCATTTTCTCAGAATTAAAACATGTAGAATGCGGAGTATTTTAAAAATCTAAATATGAAAAAAAAACAAGCTTTTTAAGCTAAGTGGGGAATAGAATCCGAATTGGCAAATTGAACTAATAAATATACATTACTAAGTATGTGTTAACTTAAAGATGGGTTCCCTTATTTTCATTTATGAAAATGCTAATACTTATATGAATAGAAAGTAGAGGTGTTCTAATAATGACTTGGAAAAATACCAGTTTGTTTTACATGTCCATAATTAATTCATAATTGGCTAAATTAGAAGAGAATTACTAACAGAATTCCAATGACTGACCGATCAAGAAAGGTCAAAACGTCTTTTTTTGTTTATCCAGACTGTACATACATGGACATTTAAGATTGGTTAAAACTCTTAATTATATGCAATAAGAACATAATGATATGATTAAGAATACATGATAATTCACCAGAAACACCAATTAATCAAATAGTTTGCATAATTTGACACTAAAAAATATGGAAAGCCATCTTTAAGTGAATTTTTGTTACCCTTTTAGGGTAAGTGAAGGGAGATAATTCGAAATGGATGGAACCTTAAATAGTAAGTTGAACTAAAGATTTTAAATCAGATTTAACACCCTCTAGTTGGCTATTTATAGGTAATGCTAGATTCACCAAGCCCCATGTCAGACCGTTTGGTGTTGAGGAAGCAAAACTTGAAATCTGTGCTCCAGCTTTAAGAAGTTCCCCTGAAAAAAAGTATGAAGAATTTGAAATTAAACCAAAGAAAATCATAAAAACTGTTCAACAGTCAATTTCACTATAACCCCAAGTCTTCTGTGGCTTTAATTGAAATTTGGATTTGTCAAGCTTCATTTGGAGATTGCAAACAGTTTTTAAAATTATATCTTACAAACCTTGAGTTTTGGCAACACTCAAGTCTTAACCTTGAAATATATTTGGCAGGAGAAAATATGTCTAGTTTTTATCAAGCTGTGTTCGTTTAGTGGTTTCATCATGTAAATAATCGCTAAACCGTTTTCACAATTTTATTCAGTGGTAATAGAAAAAGTACAGTAGTGGAATATAGCTACACTTGGTCTTGGGATGCCGCGATGGCTCAGTGAGTTAGACGCTTGCTCGCTAACTTAAAAGTCCAGGATTCAATCCTGCCATAAGTGAGATAATACCTTTGGATTTTTCAACCCGGTTTCCAAACTGTCAGTGAGGTAGGTAAGAGGGGCTGACATGGAAAAAGTGTCTAGTCGCTGGGATGGAACAATAAACCGAAGCCCGGTGTGCTACAGGCTGTGCACGTTTAAGATCCCTCGACAGTTGGAAATCGAAAAAGAGCAGGCTAATGCCGCTGTCCTGACAAAATTTCCCTCATTGCACCCTGCATGGCGTTGCCCGTCTTCATTAGCCCACATGGTGCAGAAAAGTAGGACGTAAAACTCCATTCATTTCATTTTCATTTCATTTCTCAGTGGTACTGACTCAACAAACTTTTACGGCAGCCTTGAAAGCCCTTTTGAATTAAAAGGAGGTAATTGGCCCTGGAATTCGATTAATGGTCAATTTTACCTTATTAAAGAAACGTTGCCTATCACTTTCCCTTCACATTACAGCTGACCGAGATTATACAATATTGGTCAATTATTCGTCAATTTGGATGGTTAGTTATTTTGGTGGGAATCTTAGGGTCAACAAGTGGACAGGAAAAGTGCATGGGACAGTAAAAGACAACAACCCAACTATTCGCTTAAAGTGATACTACGTCTTAGAATTAACATAAAATTGAAGAATTTTAAACTTGGTGAATAAGAGCCAGTAGATATACCTTGTGTCATAAATAACATAACAGGATCCTTATATAATCCTATAAATCCAAAAAACTTAGTAATTATCCATAAATATGCAATTAACTATTGAAAAACGCTTAATATCAAGATTAAGCGTTTTTCAATAATTATTTTCCAATTTTCCAGCTTTTACAGGGATTCTGTTGTAACTTTATGACACCAGGTAAGTTAACTGATGAATATATACTCATATTGACCATTTCGAGAACTTAAATTTTATGTTCATTCTAAGACGTAGTATCACTTTAAAACGATTCGTTCTGGAAATGCATTAAGGTGTATTAACAATTATACAGTATTTACCTGTAAGTTTGGGAAGAACTTGAGTATTATTGTCAGCACTGTAGAGTAAGATTGGACCTTGTAGAGCTGGGGGTAGAGAGAAACAAGAGTTCTGTATCTGGACAAGTACTGGACTGGTCCCAGACACTGTCCCACTTAACACCAGCGATTGTCCGTCACTTTCCAGTGACACCTTTACTAATTCTTCATCTGACTTCTCAGTTTTAAAATTCACCTGAAAAAACAGACCAATATATGTTTTTCTAAAATGTATTCGTAGAGGACTGAGTTTTTGGGCTAGTCCACAAGATCAATGCAAAAGTGAAAAACAAGCAAGAAAGGATATTTGAGAACATTCTGGAACGATTCAGAACATAAAACTGAAGACTAGTCTAATATATTAAAGATGGGTTCCCTTATTTTCATTTATGAAAATGAAAATGCTAATACTTATATGAATAGAAAGTAGAGGTGTTTTATCGACTTGGAAAAATACCGGTTTGTCTTACATGTCCATAATTAATTCATAATTAGCTAAATTAGAAGAGAATTATTAGAAGAATTCCAATGAGTGACCGATCAAGAAAGGTCAAAAAGACTTTTTTTTGTTCATCCAGACTGTACATACATGGACGTTTATGATTGGTTAAAACTCTTAATTGTATGCAATAAGAACATAATGATATGATTAAGAATACATGATAATTCATTAGAAACACCAATTAATCAAATAGTTTGCTTAATTTGACACTAAAAAATAAGGAAACCCATCTTTAAGATGTCAAAAACCCTTGAGGGCTAAATATGACACTATGTAACAACCACTTAAATACTGACTTGAATCCCCCTTTCTTTAGCTACTACTGGAGAATTGATCAGATTGAAGTTCACTTTGCTATCACCAGCACCAGAAGTCTGAAGAAACCCAGACAGAAAAGCAGCAGGAAGGTATGATCCACCAGATTGTAAGCTTGCACCTAGGAAGGAAAACAAACCGATCTATAGAATAGGCAATTTTCTGGTATAACACTGATAAAAGAATCCATGGCATCAGGAATGTATTTTCATATAATACTCGATATATAATTCATAGTTCAGAAGATATATATGTGCACCTTTCAGGCCAATTCAAAGCATCAACACAAGTAAGTCACTTGTTTTAGGTATCTATTTCGTGTTCGATTACTTGCGCCATGCTGCCACGACAATGTTACTCGAGCATTGTTTGACGTGCGGAGTGCAAGCGCGTAAACGAACGGTTTTGCGCTTACCCGAGCAGGCTGTCACATGGTGGCCGTCAAATACGAAATGAATAAACAAAATAATGAGGTAATTTTGAATAATTGTATCTTAAAAATTTGACAAGATCTAGTAGCCTCAGGTGGTGTGAACATACAAATGGTTTAATAAACTTTTGCACTTACCACTGGCAGTCAGAGTGATCTGTTTGGGTGATGATCCAGTTGAAATAGCCTGTGACAAGCACCCCAGACTTGCAGCTAGTTGCACCCATGGCTGAGTTTCTGGACTTAAAGCATTTGCTAAGGCTGGAGCATTTATCTGCAATCAAGATATTTATTTAGGCAAATGTGTAGGGCAGCTTCAGAATAACACGAGCTATGAAATAATCCTTTCTCCCATTGTTTTCAAATCTACATTTTCTAAAATAATATCAGGAATTTTATATAATGCTATGGCATTTTCTTGACCATACATATCAATAGGTACCTCACAATGAAAAATTAACATTTTATTAGACTTGGTATGCAGGTCAAATAGACAGGGTTTGTTTTTGTTGGATATACTCACTGCACCAAATAATTTGAGACCTTCAGAGAGATCAAGAAACTGTTCTGCTATTTCCACTGCAACTCGACTCTGAGCTTCATAGGTACTAGCACCAAGATGTGGTGTTGCTATGACTTTAGGATGTTTGATAAGTTTAAAGTCTGTAGGTGGTTCCTGGAAGAGAATCAAATAAACAACAGTGTTTAGTCATCTGGAGATATCAAACTAAGAGTAATAGCATATTCAAGATTTTGGGGCAAGGGCAATAACTCTGCTTCTAACGGTCGAAAATAACTCAAATTCAAACTTGATCTTCGTTTTATGAACATGTATACACATACTAAATTTCATTTGATTCCATCAAAAAATCTTGTTTTTAGAGCGTTTACAAGCAAATGTTGGACGGACGGACGGGGGTGCCGACAACATATGTCCACATAGAGAGATATGGGCGTATAAAAACTATGTTAATTGGATATCCACAAACGGTAGTTATGAATATGCAGATGGTAAAATTAAAAATTGAAAGCTGTTAAGAGCGCTTCATACCTGGACAAAAACATCTAACCCAGCTCCTCCACACTGACCAGTCTCTAAATTTCGGAATAAGCCTTCTTCATCTATTATACCACCTCTAGCACAGTTAATCACTTTAACACCTTTCTTACATTTACTGAATACTTCATCATTTATCAAATCTGTAAAATACGGACATCAGAACTGAGGGAGATGCTTAACAGTGGCATCAAAAGCACGTCATGTAAAACTAGTTTCTTGATAAAATGAGGAATTGTGGGACATTGAAAGCTAAAGAGGTTATCATACTTCCCTATTTTAAGTTTGATATCCCACAATTCCTTATTCTATCAAGAAACTGGTTTTATGCTTTGGTAAAAAACCTCTTAGATTACAATGGAGACTTAAAATATCCGAAAGCTGTAATCTAATATTAATTAGCGTGTATCAAAGATTATCTACACCTATTATTACCCAGGACCACAGACATTGATGAAAGCATAAATAACTGGTCCTTGCAAAAGAAGAACAAAAGAAAAGAAAAAAAAATTATTAGCACTTACACGAACTTACTTTTGGTTTGAGGGATCAAAGGAGTATGGACAGTTATATAGTCTGCCAAGGGCCATAACTCTTCTAGTTTCATCCACTCCACATCAAATTCTGAACTGACATCTCCACCAATTATCGGGTCAAATCCAATGGTCTAGAAGAGGGAATTATGAGATTTAAAGCTATATTCCTAATTGGTCATAATATGAAAGAATTTACTGAATTTTGCTATTATGTCAAGAATATTCCGCTGTTGCAAAAATTTCAGTTTCTATTCTATTGCATAGTACAAGTGCTTCACATTTTAGAGTTGGAAAATACTGTTTTCTAATCACTTACGGTCATTCCAAAAGACTGCATCCTTAAGGCCACTTCCTTTCCAATTCTTCCGAGTCCAATGATGGCGAGGGTTTTTCCATTCAATTCATTTCCCATATACTTCTTTCTGTCCCACTTGCCTTCTTTCATAGATTGGGCAGCATTAGGAATTTCTCTAAAAATCAAAGTGATGTTTGTTGTAAGTCATTTAGTTACAAATGGCTTTATAAAGGGCTAGATGCTGTCTAAATGACTTGCAACACTTTATAAAGGGCTTAAAGATGGGTTCCCTCATTTTCATTTATGAAAATCAAAATGCTAATACTTATATGAATAGAAAGTAGAGGTGTTCTAATAACTTGGAAAAAATACCAGTTTGTCTCACATGTCCATAATTAATTCATAATTAGCTAAATTAGAAGAGAATTACCAGCAGAATTCCAATGAGTGACCGATAAAGAAAGGTCAAAAAGTCTTTTTTTGTTTATCCAGATTGTACATACAGGAAAAATTTATGATTGGTTAAAACTTAAATGCAATATAAGAAAATAATGATATGATAAAGAATACATGCTAATTCATTAGAAACACCAATTAATCAAATAGTTTGCTTAATTTGACACTAAAAAATAAGGAAACCCATCTTTAATTTGGTTGTAAAAACGATATTTCAAAAGACTCTTCACAAGTATGATATAAATAATTCCAAATATGCTCTATAAATACAACCACCTTAAAGGAAAAATTCCACCTTCGAAGATATTTTTAGTGCAAATTTGTGAAAACTATACACCAAAATCTGGAGAAACGGTCTATTAAAATTTTTACGTAAACTTTTATGCTTCGTAAGCTGTTAGGAAACTGATTGTAGAGAAATATGTCTCCTACGTATTCTAAAGGTTTCAACTAATAATATCGAGCCATTATAAAGCTAAACACTAAAACTAGGTCAAACTGCTTAATTAACAATTAATACTCTGTTTTTATTTAACCCTTTTAAAACAGTTTGATCAAGTAGATACATAGATATAAATAGCATACTTTTTCAGGAATAATATACAGGGTTTTTGAAAATAATTTTTTTTTTACATAAAAAGCAGAATGCCCCTTTAAATAAGCAAGTCCAAGAATTTATCTTACTCACTCACCCTGGATAATGAAATGGAAAGCTAATGCCTATCCCTTTGAATATATGAAAAATAACCCAAAAATAATGGAGGTAAATAAATAACAAGTATATTGACCTGTATTATCAAGGGTAGGGCCAACTTCACAAAGTCAAGCTATACTATGATACTATGTCTTAAAATGAACATAAAATTTAAGTTCTCAAGAATGGTCAATATGAGTATATATTCATCAGTTAGCTTACCTGGTGTCATAAAGTTACAACAGAATCCCTGTAAAATCTAGAAAATTGGAAAATTCATAAAACTAAGTAATTATTGAAAAACACTTTATCTTGATATTAAGCGTTTTTCAATAGTTAATTGCATATTTATGGATAATTACTAAGTTTTTTGGTTTTATCGGATTATATAAGGATCCTGTTATGTTATTTATGACACCAGGTATATCTACTGATGAATATATTCTCTTATTGGCCAAGTTTAAAATTCTAAAATTTTATGTTAATTCTAAGATGTAGTATCACTTTAAGCTTATACCTTGACTCTAATATCTGCCTTTCTTCAGCGAACAGCTTGACATTGTGAAAATGGGCAGACTTAACCATGTGATTTTCATAAACTAAGTGTTTGATGACACTAATCACAAAATATGCATTATCACATAAGGCCATTCGCAATTAGTGACGTCATCAAATTGAGTTAGTTTTAGTGGAATTGCAGGAACCACAGGACGACGTCTGATTGAAAATTGAAATGGTGCAAATTAATGCTATCAGTACACATAAATAAATCAGAAAATCTATTTACAATCCCTTTAACAACTGTAGAAATCTACAGATCAAAACTAGACAACAGACCAGCTGTCATATTATTGATTATAAAAAATGTTGTATTGCTATAGCAGAAAAGCATGATGAAATATCAATAACAGAAAATCTATATTTACAGCTAATTGTCTATCAGTCTGCTAACATTGCAACTTCACAATGTCAAGCTATCATAAACTGTATATCGTGGGTGACCGCTTAAAACCTCGTATAACAATACATGACGCGAAATTACTTTGAGAAAAACGGAAAAAAACTATTTGTACGCTTATTTTGTTAAAATCTTTTACTAATGACTTGGAAAAATACCAGTTTGTCTCATATGTCCATAATTAATTCATAATTAGCTAAATCAGAAGAGAATTACCAGTAGAATTCCAATGAGTAACCGGTCAAGAAAGGTCAAAAAGTCTTTTTTTTGTTTACCAGACTGTACAAACATGAGCATTTGTTATTGGTTAAAACTCTTAATTATATGCAATAAGAACATAATGATATGATTAAGAATACATGATAATTCATTGACACCAATTTGTCAAATAGTTTGCTTAATATGACACTAAAACATTAAGGAAACCCATCTTTAAGAATTACAGAAATAATCTACCTACCTAGACATGGTGACAATCAAGGCACAGGTGTGTTCTGCTGCACTCAAGGTATTTCCACCTGGAGTACTAAAATAAACATATATAAAAATAAATTCTAAAACCACTACTTTTGAATATGGAGAAAATTTCCACCAATGGTAATATCTTAATGTATTAAAATCTTCCTGATACTGTAAGATTAGAACGACATATAGAAGCGAGGAGTACATATCACAAAACACAAGACAATATCATGGAATATAACACACTTCTTTAATAAGGTTGGGCACGACATGTGTATATTGTGTTGAAACGTTACGTGCCCAACCTTATTAAAGGCTGATTTCCACGGGACACAATTTTCTTTTTGCACGAAGCGATTTTTTTGTACAGGTGCATGCGTATTGATAAGAAGTACTAGAATTTGCAGCGAAAAAAATCATGACGATCGCAAAAGAAATAGGAATAGGTTCTACTTTTACGCGACAAAATTTTTCGCACATTAGCTTATCCAATTAGATGCGAAAATTTTGGCTTACAGCATCAACGTCAAAAGATGGCAGAAAACGGCATAGCCGACTTATCAGTCCCAACAAACTCAAACAAATTTCTTTGGATTCAGAGGAAATAAAACAAAATCTGGAAAATAATTAGAACTAGTTAATATAAACGCTAGTTTAATAGTAGGGCTTTGTTGAATGCCGCCATTTTGTCGCTGATGGGCAAGGACGTTAAAATAGTGATAACATCGATCTTCGATAACAGTGTAACTCAAGATTCGTCGAGTGCTTTTATTTTGCGACGAAAAATTTCGCTTCGCACGAAAAAAATAGTCCCGTGGAAAACCACCTTAAAGAAGTGTGTTATATACCATAATGTTATCTTGTGTTTTGTTCCTAACACTAATGGGGCTAAAGGACATGGGTATAGCTATACAGTTTGGAATGAAGCAATTTTTGCTTACTCTTTTTTGATTACCAACAAGGGATCACAGCTTATGCCAACTATTGCGAATTGGAAACTTTATCATTGAATGATTTGGACTTTCTACCTACTTCATAACAATAATCCCTCTTTGTGTGGCAGCATTACAGTCAATATTATCAACCCCAGTTCCAGCACGACCGATAATCTTCAGATTACTTGCTGCTGAGATGACGTCTGCTGTCACTTTTGTTGCTGAACGAACTATTAAACCATCATATTTCTGGAACGAAAAAAGAACTACAATTATATTTGCATCCTACAGATCAGTAGGTACAAATTGGACTTGGAGTGGAGCTTGACATCCTTGATCAAATGAACACGCTTAAAGGAATACTGCTTAAAGGAATACTACGTCTTAGAATTAACATAAAATTTAAGAATTTTTAACTTGGCCAATAAGAGCCAGTAGATATACCTGGTGTCATAAATAACATAACAGGATCCTTATATAATCCGATTAATCCAAAATACTTAGTAATTATCCATAAATATGTAATTAACTATTGAAAAACGTTTAATATCACGATTAAGCTTTTTTTTTAAATAATTACTTAGTTTTATGAATTTTCCAATTTTCTAGATTTTACAGGGATTCTGTTGTAACTTTATGACACCAGGTAAGTTCACTGATGAATATATACTCATATTGACCATTTCGAGAGCTTAAATTTTATATTCATTCTAAGACGTAGTATCACTTTAAAGATCGATGTCTAATATGTAACTGATTGACTTAGCTAGTTTCTGAGATTAAGGTACGATTGGTCAAAAAAAAAAAAAAAGCTCATCTATCCCTTTAACAACCTAAATATTATTGGAATATTGACATGGAGTTTTACATTCTACTGTTCTGTACATCATTTAGCTAATCGATTGGAATAGAGTTTAATCAGGTGAAAAAAGGAGTTTTACACCCTTCCCTTGCTAATGAAATAGCACTTGGAGTTGTATCTCCTACTAAACTCTATGAAATGTGGGAGCTCTAATAATGTTCTCTTTTTTTACTACTAGTATATGAATAGCTACTTTTGGATTTATGAGTTTACATAGGTCAACATTATTAGCCAGTGGTCACTAACACAAAACAATAGTGACCAATGTCCAGTTATAGGACTAGGCTTAGTCAACTTTATATTAGTAAGACTGTCATATAATATTTGTCCTGTAGCTTGACCATTCTAACAATAGTGACCATTATATATATAGCAACGCTACAAAATAAATTACAGGATATGCCTTTATTACCAAAATGGTCTATATAAGAAGCCAAAAATTATCTGAGAGAAAATTTCAGTCATAGGAAAGGCCTTCATAAGCTTGATTTGAAATTGAAAAAGAATTCTAAGCAACTTTACAGAGCAAAAAATTATTGTCTTAACATTTTTATGTCCCTTGTAAGTCGAACAATATTTTTGCTCTAGTTTTTAGAGCGTTTACAAGCAAATGTTGAAGGACCGACGGACCTTTGTTTCATGAATATGTATACACATACTGAATTTCATTTGATTCCATCAAACACTCTAGTTTTTAAAGCGTTTACAAGCAAATGATGACGGACCGACGGACCTTCGTGTCATGAATATGTATGCACATACCGAATTTCATTTGATTCCTTCAAACACTCTAGTTTTTAGAGTGTTTACGAGCAATTATGTTGATAGAATCACTTGCTATATAGAGGTTAATAAAGGGCGATAACTCCTCAAAACTGTCATAAGAGGCCTAAATCTTGAAAAAGCCTTAAATTTAATCAGAAGTAAACTAAACTTTCTCAAACCTTTCGATTTAGGTCCAATAACATCCATTTTAAGTTTCATCAAAATCGGTTGAAAACTAAGAGAGTAATAGCATATTCAAGATTTTGGGGCAAGGGCTATAACTCTGCTTCTAACGGTCGAAAATAGCTCAAATTCGAACTTGATCTTTGTTTTATGAATATGTATACATATACGGAATTTCATTTGATTCCATCAAAAAATCTAGTTTTTAAGAGCGTTTACAAGCAAATGTTGGCAGACGGACGGACAGGGGTGCTGACATTATACGTCCACGTAAATCGCAACAAAGTTCTTATGCTTTTTGCAAGCTGTTAGAAAACTACTGTATGGATTTGAGTAAAATAACGCCTAATTGTAGAGAAATATGCCTCCTACGTTTTCTAAAGGTTTGAACTAAATATAACAAGCCATCGAAGTAAAACTGCTTAATTAACAATTTTTACTCTCAGTTTTTTTAATTTACTCTTTTAAAATAAAGTCAGTTTTATCATATCATGTAGATACATATAAATAGCACACTTTAGAAATATTTTCAGGTATAATTTATGACATTATTGATAATGGAAATGTTTTACAAAAAAACAGAACACACCCTTAAAGTCATTATGACAAATTCGCATAATATGCAGTCAGGCCAAAAAATCTATCTCTGGCCACATCAAGTTCTAAATCACATTTTGTGAGAGTCTTTGATTGTCTTTGGGTTGATGAAAATGCCAACCATTGAAAACAAAAGGGAGGGAGATTTTCAGTTCAAAATGTGTCATTTTCACATGAAATTTCTTGGAGAGAAATGTGTTCATTTCAAGTGCAAAATTTTCAAAACTTATATATTCATGGACCCAAAGGCATTCTATGACAATAGGTATGCACATGAAAATCATATTTTGAATATTTGTGACATGAGAGAAAAAATTCAATTGAGAACTCAATGTGGCCAGAGATTTCAAGCCTAAACAATAACTTTGCCTATAAATGGAACAGAAAAGAGATAAAAAAGAAAAATTCAAACGAAAAGCCAAATGAATATCAATGTCTACATAAATCCTATTTTTTTTTTTCTTATTCTTTTTTGCTGAAAAATATTTTTTAATTTTAATCAAGGCTACTCACTGGAATTTCAGCTATCAGCTCTTCTTTTGACAATTTGGTATTTTTCACCACTTCAACTCCCTTCTTTTTCAAAATGTTCACACATTTTTCATCGATTTCATCACTAATCAAAACTTTTTTCAGTGATATAACCATTTTGACAAATTTTGTAACTCCCTCTTCTTACTTGACTGACAGTTGTTCAAAACCAAATGAGATCGACAGACGACACTTTCAGTATTTATACCAGTCGCGGAAGGATCAATGTAATCCGTCTTTTGAGCAAAGTTACAAAATTTAGCAAAACCTCTCGATTTATTAAAATAATCGAATATTTCAAAGACAATTTCAAAATTGAGAGAAAAATGGATTAAAACCCCAAAAGTTAAAAAAGTTTGATTGATGGACTATTTTTGTCCAAATAAGGTTCAGTGAACTTTTCACACGGCTGTCACGTGATGGAATATTTCTTACGGTTTATGGACGTTTGTTATTTTCTAAACAAGTTTCATCATTCTTCAACCCAGTTTCATCAGGTTATGACCCAATTGAGATTGAAATTAGCTGAACCGTGATTTTTTTATATAATATATTTTACCGTGTGAATGTCACCTCGTCCTGATGATAGCTTGTCAAATGAAAACTTAATTCGCTGATGTTTGTTGTAAGTGATTTAGCAGACGGTTTCTATCCATTTTGCATTTTGTTATCGTGGTTATAGGTGTTATATAGAAGATACTCTCCTATAGAAGCACTGGCCTAGGTCACAAGTAGAAACTATGGATTTCAACATGAAAACTATTTCAATTCAAACAGAATGTTTTACTGAAGATTATTCATAGATTATTACTTCTGTAAAGATTACAAAAAAAAAAAAAAATTCAACTCAAATTCCAATGCAGGGAGTTGATGAAAGGGGTTCTAATCTACCATGAACTAATACATTACTAAAGTTTTTATTTCTTTTATATGCAGTGTTTAGTAGCCTATAAACGTTTGGAAATTCATCCTGAAGCTCGTGGTGAAATGTCGAATTGGATAATCTACATCAAGTAGACCTACACACTTTTCAATAAATAAGATTAAAATGAAAAACAAAATGCACCCAAACAATGAAGTTGACTTCCGATAATTATTTTGCCATCTCGACTTTCGTAAAAACAATTGCTCAATGTAGAGTAAAAAGAAATGAAATGAATGGAGTTTTACGTCCTACTTTTCTGCACCATGTGGGCTAATGAAGACGGGTGCGATGAGTGAAATTTTGTCAGGACAGCGACATTAGCCTGCTCTTTTTCGACTTCCAACTGTCGAGGGATCTTTAACGTGCACAGCCTGTAGCACACGGGGCCTCGGTTTATTGTCCCATCCGAACGACTAGACGCTTTTTCCACGTCAGCCCCTTTTACCTGCATCACTGACAGGGGGAAACTGGGTTGAAAAATCCGAAGGTATTATCTCGACCTATGCCGGGATTGAACCCTGGACCTTGTAGAGTGAAAAGTAGCACGATATTTCCAAGCGTTGAATTATATGGAAATTGTTGATGGCCTATTAAAATATATGTTGTAAATACTCTTTTGGCCTTGTCATTAGTGGCTGTTTGGAAAATATTTTATATACCAAGGGACGTAACTCTTGACAGACTGTTGATCGGATTGATCAAGAACACCAAATAATGTTATCAACTATACAGACTCACTTTGAAGGAAGGCAGAGTTAAAACCATTCGTAGGCATGGGCGCAGATCACGGGGGGACAGGGGGACCCCCCCCCCCCCCCCCCCTTCGTCAAAAAACCTGGGGGGACATGATATCCTGTGATATCTTGGTTGAGTAGAGTGGCTATAATGGACGTAAAATAGGCACAATTTGGCATCCGAGAACGTCAAAGTGTCGAAATTTTGCGCCTATGGCTCACTATTCGAACAATTTATGGTCGAGAGACAGGACCTCCACTCACAGAAGCGTCATTACGAAGGGGCACACGTAGCGAATTTTATCGTTCGCATATTCGCACTGGATGACTGGAAATTCAGTAACATGACATGCTAGAAGGTGCCTTTCTTTCCATAATATTTCTGAGAGCTATAAAGATACGGTGTCACCAGCTCAACTGAAACGTCCTCATGCCGCTATACTCTGCACCTACGGTCCGACCCTTTTGAATAAATCCTGCGTAGGCCACTGGCCCCCCCCTCCCCCCGAATTAAAAAAGGGATCCGCGCCCCTATTCGTAGAGTGGCAATAAGTGTATATTACCTTTCAACCATTTCGAAATACTCACCTTTGATCTTTCTTTCCTGCAAGAAACTCTACCTATAACTTTCCAAAGTGTATTTAGCTCTATGATAGGGGAAAATGTTTTATTGAACGAACAGTTAAAGATAGGTTCCCTTATTTTCATTTATGAAAATGAAAATGCTAATACTTATATGAATAGAAAGTAGAGATGTTCTAATGACTTGGAAAAATACCAGTTTGTCTCACATGTCCATAATTAATTCATAATTAGCTAAATTAGAAGAGAATGACCAACAGAATTCCAATGAGTGGCCGATCAAGAAAGGTCGGAAACTCTTTTTTTTTTAGTTTATCCAGACTGTAATTACATGAACATTTATGATGGGTTAAAACTCTTAATCATATGCAATAAGAACTAAATGATATGATTAAGAATACACGATAATTCATTAGAAACACCAATTAATCAAATAGTTTGCTTAATTTAACACTAAAAAATAAGGAAACCCATCTTTAACAATAACAAATTACCGAGATAACATTTTGGTGAATTCTCCATAGGGTTTCCAAGTTTTGTAACTTGTCATATGGAATTATATATTGTGTCCACTTAGCTGCAACTGTTACAAGAAAATGAATTTTATGCCAAAGGACTTGGCCTGTCCGGCAAATGGCTGGGAAACTAACTCATGAGTAGCCTGTAGCAGGCCTGTGCAACCTACGGCCCGCGGGACAACTGCGGCCCGCGAGATGATTTCGCGCAGCCCGCGGCGTCATTAAAATTTGAGGGAATGCGGCCCGCGAGCAAATACTTCGTTTGCTCTTGTCACTGTCGGTGTGGCTCACAGATTGTCGCTGCCTATTCTGATATCGAAACCCGTTATATCCGCGCTGTTAGTGTTATATCAAAGTATGACGTCAAAATGAATCTAACCAATCGAGGTTAACGAGGTGTGAAACAGTGATTTTACGTCAAATATGCCTGTTATTTGAAATACACATTGAAATACGTTATTGAATAAATGACTTGAGAAAACTGCATGTTTCTCATTGTTAATCCCATGATTCATTGATGGTTTGTTACGTGGCCCACGGCCTACTCGTATCCCCCAAATGTGGCCCTCCGTTGCGGAAAGGTTGCACAGGCCTGGCCTATAGCCTACATGAAAAAATAACCACATTGTTTACGTATTTTATTTGTGTTTACATTCACGTAATTTCACATAACATAAAAAAAACTTTTAAAAACCCAAGGGGTATAGTCGTCTAAATATTCACTTCCCTTCAATTCGAACTGTCTATATAACTTTCAAAAATGAAAATACAGCGTCTGGTTCGTCTATAACTTCATAAAAACATAACTGACGAACAATCAAACTCTTGTCCTCTCCAACGCTGGGATTATAAAAGGTGTATTCCGAGAATCGTTAGACACTGAATGCATCGTTTGTTTGCATCACAAAATCCCATCGTTGGAGAAGGCAAGAATTCGATTGGCTGAAGGTGTCATCAAACAGAGGAATGGCCAAGAGGGCCGTCGTTAGCCCCTAACTGAATTGGCTATATTAAAAATGGAACAAAAGTTCGGTCCAATTTTAATTAATTTTGATTAGCTATGTGAATATTTAGACCACTATATATGCCTTTAAAATTGTTTAAAGTGATACTACGTCTTAAAAATAAACATAAAATTTAATTCTCAAGAATGGTCAATATGAGTATATATTCATCAGTAAACTTACCTGGTGTCATAAAGTTACAACAGAATCCCTGTAAAATCTAGAAAATTGGAAAATTCATAAAACTAAGTTTATTGCATATTTATTAAGTTTTTTGGATTTATCGGATTTTGTAAGGATCCTGTTATGTTATTTATGACACCAGGTATATCTACTAGCTCTTATTCGCCAAGTTTAAAATTCTTAAATTTTATGTTTATTCTAAGACGTAGTATCACTTTAAGATAAGAACATCCGGACATGGTAGGTTTGGAACAGTAATCAATGGCATTTAATTCATTTCATATAAAAATATTCGCGAAAATATATCTAAAATTCTAAAGCGCAGTTACTCAAGTATACACATGGGATACCATGTAAAGGACAGTAAAGTACCTAGTTTTGTCAGTCAAAGTTTGCAATACCTTGACATTTTGAAGATGGTTGTTGTATGGAAGCCGACTGCGGCCATATTCTCGTGGGCGAGAAGTCGAAAGACGACAAAGAGAGGAAAAAGGCGAGAAAGCGAGGGTAAAAAAAAGGCGAGGAAAAAGGCGAGAAAGCGAGGAAAAGGCGAGGAAAATGGCGAGAAAGCGAGGAAAAAGGCGAGGAAAAAGGCGAGTTTCCTCGCTTTCTCGTGGGCGAGAAGTCGAGAGTAGATATGACCGCAGCCGGCTTCCATATAGTTGCCTTGCTTAAGATTGTTTTCTGAAGAACATGGTTTCGATAACAACCTCGAAATACATAAAACAACATTGTGGGCGGGCTCTGCCCGTGAAAGACAATAATTGGGTCAACAATACTTATGCGCGTGCATCCCAATACAAATGAATCTGATGAACTACCATGTGTTTAAATTTATGACAAATATGAATGGACATGTGCATAAACACGAATATAGACAACAAACCACGTGTCTGATCTTTATTTTGAAAAGTGATATGGATAGACGAAAATGATCTCCAGTTGGTAAAACAAGAAAATCCAAATTTTATGTGGACTAACATTTGTGTCCCGTTTCCCCCAAAAATCTTATATCGAAATTGATCGGAAGTGTTAATGATGAGAGACTAAGGACAAATTTTGATCGCAAATGTGCTGGTATACCATGGTCTGGTCTTGACGCTGACGTTTGTAAATGATCGTACATAAATACAGAAAAGTAATTATTTCACAACCTAATAAACGGCAAGAAATGGACCGGAGTTCACTTTAAGGTGGGCGAAGGTTTACTATCTAT